CCCACTCATTGTTGAAGCAGCGAGGTAATGGCAATCATTGCCAACCAGCAGATGTGTGGCGGAGTGCTTGTTGCTCTTCTTAAACTGGGAGGTTTGAACATTAGGTCTCTCAAACACTATGCTGAGTCTACGCAATTATCTGAAAGCAAACGACAGTGATGAACTAAAGTGTTTGTGGACCGAATCGTTCAAAATTACATCAAAATTGAAAACCAGCTCCTAGATTCGAGCGACATCAAATCGACGCTCAAAGCGCTAATGCTGCGACAGCAAAGTGCAGAATTTGAACGGCTGACAACTTTTGTCACTCCTTTGCCAGGGTACAATAAACAAGGCAATTAGTAGTCATATTCAGGCAGCTCGGATTACTCACTGGTCGCGATACATTGCCAGTCTTCCAAAGGTTTTGTTCAGATTTGTCAGAAAAAGTTTGATACAGCAACTGCCGACAAATGCAAATCTGTCCAGATGGAAACAGTCTTCCACTACCCAGTGTCCACTATGCAACAATCAACAAACTAACAAACATGTACTCTCCAACTGCAGATCAACACCGTCGTTAAAGAGGTACACAACAAGACACAACATAATTCTAACAATAATTCTCAAAAAAAAATGAAATCGTGCGCCGACCTAGAAGTCCCTGTTTTTGCAGATCTAGAGACAGATGAATTTCAACCACTTTCTCTCTTATTGAAGTCATTGCGACCTGATGTCGCATTGCTACGAGACGAAACAATTGAAATACTGGAATTAACAGTTTGTCACAAGACTAACTTTCTAAATTTTAAAGAATATAAACTATCTAAATACTCAGGTAACTTGCAAAATAACTTGATTAACGACTTTAAACATTTAAAAATAAAAATAAATACATTCGAAATCTTAACTCTAGCTTTATTTAAAATATTTAATCTATCTCTTATAAACATTATTTGATCTGATCATTTCTGCAATAGCCTCATTAAATCTGCAATGTCGTTGCCGTACGCTATTTACTGCGATAGAAATGTGACTTGAATCAATTTTGAAACTAAGTAACTCTAGTTGTACTCATTCTTTTTCAATGAAAAGCTTTGTAGACTAAATTAATACTTTATTTGATATTTTATTTTACTTTTACTCTTATTTTATTCTACTTGTAAATTTGTTTCATTTTAATGTCATTTTCTTTGTTTCATAGCTGAATAAAAGATTGTTCTCATTATTATTATTTTTATAATTATTATATATTATTAAACAATTTTTTATCATCTTTGTACTCGTATGTAAATGATGAGCATGGATGACTATAAACATTTCGTATATTTATGATGATTGATTTTATATTTTGAGGTTTGATGATAATAAAAAGAGTTCCCATTATTATTATTATTATTATTATTATTATTATTATTATTATTATTATTATTATTATTATTATTATTATTATTATTATTATTATTATTATTATTATTATTATTATTATTGATGTGTTTGTAAGCGCCCTTTAAAAAGATCTCAGAGGCGCTAACGATTATTGCTGTACATTGCATAGCACTTTATTAAAGCAATGTAGAATAGAGAGGAAATGACATTAGCACGGGTAAGCTTGGGCAAAGAGATGTTGCCTCAACCTCTTAAGAAGTTGAATAACAGACAGCACAGAATTAATAAATGAGACATTTATTTAGAAAAGTATACTAAATTTCAATAATGACTCTCGTCTCCATTTTTAAAACGTGACGTTGTTAACACTTTAATAGTAATATAACGTAAGTTGTCGCATGTTGGCCGGTGAGATGACTCAGTGGTTCAAATGCTTGCTGAGCCAAACATTTCAATGGCTATCATATACTCAGCTTATATGATGCGGTGCTTGCGCCTACACATAAATATATGTGCACGTCTTGTGGAAAGGATAAAGAGCCTTTTTGGCGAAGATGGCTGCTTCAAATCATTGGATGAAGATATAAAAAACATAATAGAGATACATAAGATAACATATCTGTAACATTGTGAGTGGTTCTGCGTATATCAGAGCTGCAATAATAAAGACTAAAAAAAACAAAAACAAACCTGGAATGTCAAATGAATGTAAAAATTAGCTAGTAGATATGTCGTTTATTTGCTGACATTTTCATTAGCACTAATATTGCGGTATAATAATAAAATTAATTTTTTGTGTGAAAATAAAAGATGTTTCTATTATTATTTTTATTAATCATGATGATTGAAAAAGTATATAATAAAAAAATTCTACCCTAAATAGAAGAAGTTGGTGGCGGCCTCAACAGGTTAATCTTGGAATTCACTCTTCAGTTGTAATAACTGGCCGATGAATGTAATAAACATGATTTAGTGCGTCTTTTTCTAAGGTAGCGTTGTTATCTTCGTCAATGTTCTTATAATTTTCATTTTTTTAAAGCCTTCTTCGTTTTCTTCTTTCGCAGTTTTACGTTTTTTAACTCTGATAAGCTGTCTTTACGTTTTTGTGGTCTTTGTTGGGAATCTTATCATAAGTGGAGAAGTTAGATGTTGTTGAATACGCTTATTTTCATAATGTATGATATCAGGTTTACTAAGTTTTTATTTTTTAAAATTGGGTGTATATCTTCTGGAATTCGGTTTTTTTGCTGCTTTCATTATAAGTTTGACATTCTATTAATATGTGTTAAATTGATAGTTTTGCATTGCATTTCTCACATTAGTTTTTTAAATCACCTTTACCTCGTCAGAAACACTCTCACTTCAATTCTCACTTGCAATCTTATAATTTACATGTTTAATTTTTTTCAAGCTTTTTTTATAGTTTCCCAAATTTTCGCAATCGCATATATTCTCTTATAAAATCTAATAGTTTCTATGAGCAGTAGTATATACTTATAATGATAACTTAAAAAAAAAAACTTTTGTAAAGATATAAAACATTTTTGAAAATTATTCTATACTGTACTTAAAATTAAAAATATTCTGTACTTTCAAATATCGTTAACTTGAAAAAATTCTCATATCGCAAACATTCAATCTCTTCTTGTTACCCCACTCACTAAATTTAAGAATCCGTGGTTCTTAAACAACAATCTTATCTAAAACATCTCCTGACCAATTTCTTTGCAGAAATAATTTATTTAACATTCTTGCGTGACGGTTTTATTCAGCGTCCTCGCTCGCATCTTGTCAACATTTAAACTTTGAGATATATTCACTGGATATATAACGGTACTAATTTTTCAAACTAATTTATTTGACAAAAAATTTTCTAAAAAAAAAATATTTCAAAATGCTTCAACTGTTCCCACAGCAGCAACTGCTGACAAACAAATTCTGCTACAACCGCGTGATCCCGTTAGAATCAATCACAACATTGTTAATGTGTTTTATTTGCTCGGCTAATTACTGTCATTGTACTTTGTTGATATGTGCCGAAATCTCTCTCTCTCTCTCTCTCTCTCTCTTTCTCTCTCTCTCTCTCTCTCTTTCTCTCTCTTCGTTGATGCTGTTGTTTCAAAGAATAATAAATTAATAAATATAATAAATAAAATAAAAATAAAAAAATATATAATAAGCGAAGTGGAAATTTACTATCTGAAATTTTTCTGATCATGTTGTCTAGAAAGTTTTAGTGAGTTAAGCCGTTCAATTCAAAACATTTGCCCTATTTTTGTTTATAATACAGTGAGTTTTTTATTTGCCTTGTTTCATTTGTTCTAGCTAAGTGCATTGTTAGTGTTTTAATTTTTAACATTAATAATAGAAGCAGCAGAATCGTTAGCTGAATATTTTCAATTGAAAATTATGTATTATTCTGAAAATTATGTATTATTCTTAAAATTTTTATTTTTATTATTATGTTATTCACTCTATTGACATTCCTCAGAAAATTGAATGCTTTGTTGAACAAATAACTTTTTAACTCTCTTCTGAAATCTTTTTCTGGAACAATTTGCTTCAATCTTGTTGGAAGATCATTCTATACCTTGGGCATAGCAACCTGCACACGTCTGTCACCCAGTTTTGTCCTGGTTCTAGGAATTACCATCATTTCTGACGAAACCGAACGCAGTGAATGTCCCACATCAACTTCAGTTCTTTTGCGAAAAACCTCCTTCGGATATTCTGAACCGTGTACGCAACCATGAGCCACCACCAAAATATGCCTATAAACATTTCTTATACTCCTGTTACATTTCTCTGGTAATAATAATTTTTGTTCGTTCAAGTACAGTAATTTCTTATTTGATGATGGACGAGGTATGTCAGTTTGATGTTTTATTAGATTACCAATGACATTCGTTTAAGTCTTTCTTTGAATAAATGTTGAACAGAACTGAATTCAACATAACTCTGTTTTGTAGTGTAAATACTGAAACTTGTCATAATGATATCGTAACGAAGAACGCTGACAGAAAATATAAAATTTTTGTGAAAAAAAATGTTGAATAAAAATATTTGCTGTGTAAGTCGGGTCACATACGGCTTAAGATTATTTTTATTGGCAACGGTCATTTAAATCAATAAAGAGAACAAAAGCAATGGCCCATTTAATGACTACCTAGTTCAGTTATTTTCAATAGAGGAAACGAACACGCGTTGGTTACACATCAGGGTGTGGAAATTAGTTACAATGGTTGATTTCATTATTAGAATGTGCATTTTTCTACCGATCAAAATCCTAAATCATCGTTCTGATAAAGATATAATGTTAAAATTCTAGAGAAAATTCACTGATGTTGTTGTTGAAGTGTTTTTATGAGAATAATGAGAGTGGTGGTGATGAACATGATGATTATGACGATGACGATGAGAATGGCGATGGTGGTTATGTCGTTAAAATTGGTGGATTTGTGAGAGTGATGACGACAACTGTGATGAACGTGATGAAGACGACGATGATGTTGTTAACGATAGTGATGACGATATGGATGACAAAGGATGTCTTAGTGGCTATGAGGAGGTTGATGTTGTGGTGACGTCAGAGATTGATGTTGTGGTGACGTCAGAGATTGATGTTGTGGTGACGTCAGAGATTGATGTTGTGGTCACGTCAGAGATTGATGTTGTGGCCACGTCAGAGATTGATGTTGTGGTCACGTCAGAGATTGATGTTGTGGTCACGTCAGAGATTGATGTTGTGGTCACGTCAGAGATTGATGTTGTGGTCACGTCAGAGATTGATGTTGTGGTCACGTCAGAGATTGTAGTGATTACGAACATAATGATAGTGATCGAGTTATGACAGATGATTACAATGATGAAGACGATTACAAAAGAATAATTATGATTGCTATCATAATCAAATGATATTTTAATTCAATAAAATTTCTCAAATTTTGATGCCAATAATAAAAATAATAATAATTATTATTATTGGTTGGTTGGTCTGTAAGCGCCCTTTTAAAAGATCTCAGAGGCGTTAACGATTATTGCAGTACATTTATGGAAGCAATGCAATGAATGGAGAGAAAAAGACATTACCACCGGTAAGCTTTGACCAAAAATGGTGTTTCAGCCTTTTACGAAATTGGGTAAAAGACAACGCAGGATCACGAAAGTCGTTAGGCAAACCATTCCAGACAAGAGCCAAGTTTGCGTCAGGTACAAACGATAAACCTGAATTGTCAGAGCGCAATGTTTGACTCAGAAATGGCATTGTTCTAGGAATGACTCTGTCAGTTGAATATTCAGGAGCAACTCCCTTAATACATTTAAAAACCGTTAAACATACCTTGAAAATAACTCATTGTTATACCGGAAGTCAGTGAAGAGCAAAAGAATTGGCTTACTGTGATTGTATTTGAGGCCACCTGAAATCAACCTTGCAGCCCAATTTTGAACCAACTGCAGTCTACACATATTTACACCAGACTGGCCGTAATAGTCTCTTTTTAAGTGGATAAAGAAATGAACGACATTGAAGAGCATACTTGCTTAAAGATCTTTAGATGCCTCTAAGCCTACGTACGCAATTGTTCAAAGCATTCTTTTGAAATTGCCTTTGTATGAACGTTAAAAGGCATGTTATTATCAAAAACAAATCCCATGTTGCGCGCAAATGTACAAAATTCAATGTCAGTATCACCAAGCCTGATAGACTCAATGCTCATTTTTTCAATTGCTGCCTAGTGCCAGCCGGTAAAAACTGAGTTTTTGACTGATTTAATTTAAGTCTATTCGCCATCATCCAACTCGTTAATTTTTGAAAGACTTGATCCAAGTTTGCAGACAAAATCATCAAAACAACAGGTTGTAAAATACTCAGAGTGAATTAAATGTCACCCAATCTGCAAACACATTTAGGGTCTTAACAACATAAACACATTCATCGTATTTCAGACAAGAATCAAATCTTATTTTAATTGCATCTTTAAGAAGTTTTGGTTTTGGTTTTATTTGTGAATAAAATTATTGCACTGAATTTAACACTGACTTACTTCTTGTATATCTGAAAAACATAACTAAATTGTGAATGTATAGAGCATTTTAAGTGTAAAAGTAACAAACAAATAACATTCTTCTGATTACTGTTTTGGAAGTGAATTCAAATTATTATTTATATATATATATATATATATTTTACAATATTCTATAAATTCTACCGAATGTTTGGCGTTAATATGTTTGTAGTTCGTTTTTTCGATTTTTCTCACTAAAGTTTTTTGGTGAACGTTTAGTTTATTAAAATTCAAAATAAACTTATTTTTCGAATTCATGCTGCAAATAAGGCCATATTTCGATTCCGAATGAATCATCATCAGTGCTACTTGCTGTATATATAGGGAAATATTGACTTTGTCAAGATGAACTTTGACGTTGTAAAAATTATTAATAATAACGCCATATATTAACGCCAAACATTCGGTAGAATTTATAGAATATTGTATGTATATATATATATATATATATATATATATATATATATATATATATATATATATATATATCTCAAAAGCTTCTCTGCAGACTTGAGTTATTAATTATTTATATTTTTTCAAATATTTTTTATATATTATTATTTATTAATTTTTTCTTCAACATTTTTTTTATTATTATTTATTGTTATTATCAATCAAATATTGTACACAGCATTTCATACGATTAATATTTCAATGCGTCATTTCAGTCGCACCCCTTCTACATAGTAAGATTGATGGGAGGCTTGAAGTCTGGAATGAGTAATGAACGAACGTCTAGAAGTCTACCAAGATGGTTGGGTGGATGGATGGATGGATGGATGGACGATGGATGGATGGATGGATGGATGGATGGATGGATGGATGGATGGATGGATGGATGGATGGATGGATGGATGGATGGATGGATGGATGGATGGATGGATGGATGGATGGATGGATGGATGGATGGATGGATGGATGGATGGATGGATGGATGGATGGATGGATGGATGGATGGATGGATGGATGGATGGATGAATAGCTACATAGATGGATGAATGAATAGAAACATAGAAAGAAAAAAAAAGAAATTGAATTTGAAAATCATTTTATCGATCCGGAAAAAGCAACTGGTGTCGATGTAACAAGATGCGGTGGAAGCTGAATGCCGCAAGTCTTAACATCCACTAGAGATGAATGTTTCTTCGCTTGATTACTGCGCTTGATGGCGTTTTTTATTTCTAATTTTTTCTTTTATTTTACAACACTTTACTTTTGGTTTTTATAGTTTTCAAATTAAAATTAAAAAATTCTTCCTAAATAGAATTACAATAAATTATAATTAGAATTTTTCAAAATGAATAAAATAGAAACCTTTTTGGTATGAAATAAATACAAATACACCATCTTGAATTGATAAAAGTTGTATCACATCCATTCCAATTAATTTATCATCAAAAAAATATTTCGATACATTCTTTAAAATTTCATTTTTTTCATTTTATTGAAATAATGCATGCATGGAAAGTAACTATTTTTATTGAAAACTTTAAAGAAACATTCCACCAGCAATGCTCCTGACGAAATTGCTTTCAGTTGCACATGGAGAACACATGGACAGGTAATTTTTAAAACAAATCGAACGACTCTGTGGTGTTAATGCCAGATGTTGATGATTGTTTGTGGATATTTAAAAAAATCTCATAAACAGTGGTGTAGTCGAGCCGGAACGGGCCGGAACGGGCCGGAACGGCGTTCCGTTACTTTTTTTTGGAGGCGGAACGCGTTCCGGCACTTTTTTTTACAATTTCAATATAAAAAAAAGTACATTTTACAGGCGTTAAATTTAACTTTGGAAATTAATAGATAATTATAACCAATACCAATACAAACGATGAATAACTTCAATTTTTTTATTTAAACTGTTTATTATTCAACGCTATATCATTGTTGCTATGCTTACGGTTTAGTAAACATTGTTTCAAATTATATTTGCGTTTTTTGCGGAAGTTAAAAAAATAATTTTTTTACTTTATTTATTTTAAATTTACTTTAAATATTCTGCTTTTTATTACTTACTGTTTTTTTTAAATCAAATTGTTTAAATACATTTTTATATAGGAAAGTGGGGTAATAAATAAAAAAATGTTAGGCTCCATCCGTAAAATAAAATATATTATATTATAAATTATTTGTGTATACAACAATATTATCATTGTGATATTATAATTTATATTATTATTAATGTTATTTTTAGAAGGATATAAATTTGCGTGAGTCCAGATGTCAAAAAAACGGGAAATAAATACCATTCTTGATTTTTTTTGTAAAAAACAAAAGCGTGACAATGAAGATGAAGATTCTGCCAATACCAACTTAGAATTGATAGAAAATGAAAATGAAAGTGAGAATGGGAAACCTGAAGAAATAAAACCATGTTTTCCCAGCCTTTGGACAGCTGATATGTGGGCTGAAAAGAAAAAAAACTATAATTGGCTTACTTGCAATTCAGAAAAATTAGGATGTTTATTATGCACTAAAGTAAGAACTTTGGGACCATCCAAATCTCAAGGTGTCAGCATTTCAAAAGAATGGAGTACCGCAACTGTAATTTATTATGGAAAAGACAAAAGTTCACAGTTGACGTCTTTGAGAAAAAAAATTCATGAACATGCTAAGAGTGCAGCACATATCAGTGCCGAGAAAATTTTACTAGAAGCAGAAAAAAAACCCATGGAAAAAGTAGTAGATCAATTAAACAACTCTGCTGTAAGTTCTACGTCTAAAATTTTTCGTACAGCGTATTACATAGCTAAACATGATCGTCCATTCTCAGATTTATATGACTTATCACAATTACAAGAATTAAATGGAACAAATATTGCTCCTGGATTGAAATCAAGATTTTCTTGTACTAATGTTATTAATCATATCGCTAAACAAATGAAATCAAAAATATGCCAAACAATTATTCAGAATAATGGTAAAATATCGATTCTTGTGGATGAATCTACTACGCTCAGTAAAAAATCAACTCTGATTATTTATTTTAAGTGTGAAATAAATAAAATGGAAGATCCGCATTATCTCTTCTTAGATTTAGTTGAATTGGAAAGCCAGACTGCCAACAACATTGCAAATAGTCTTTTAAACTGTCTTGCAGGTTACGGGTTTGATGACCATTATTTGGCACACAATTTAATTTATTTCACCAGTGACGGTGCGAGCGTCATGTTCGGGCGGAATACTGGAGTCTCCACTCAACTTACAAACAAATATCCAAACCTCATTAAATGGCACTGTGTGAATCACCGACTAGAATTATCTGTTGGCGATGCAATAGATGAAGCACATGGAATTAACCATTTTCAAATTTTTATGGATAAACTATACACTCTTTACCACCAGTCACCGAAAAATCAAAGGGAATTGGAGTCATGCGCACAAAACCTAGACACAGAAATAAGAAAAATTGGCCGTGTGTTAGGTATTAGGTGGGTGGCAAGTTCATTTAGAACAGTAGCTGCGGTTTACCAAAATTTTGAAGCGTTGTGCAAACATTTCATACAAGCTAATCAAGATGTGAATCGATCCAAAACAGAACAATGCATGTATCTTGGTCTTTATAAACACATTTCATCAAAAGAATTTTTGTTAAATTTAGCGCTAATGTATGATGTCCTTTATGAATTGTCCCTGCTATATGAGGCATTACAAAACAGAGGTACTACGATTATTTACGCAGATAAAAAAATTCGCCAAAGCATACGATATTTAGAATCTATGAAAAATGCTGAAAAAGGGAATAAATTAATTGAAATTGCAAAAGCGATTGAAAAAATTAAATTGGGAACAGTAACTATTACAGGTAATAGCAAAGTATCTGTCATTAATAGAAATCAATTTCTGCAAAGTATTATCAACAGCATAAATCGCAGATTAATTGTAAACTCGGTATCACTTGAAACAAATATTGTAAATGAATTTCGAATTTTAGAAAAAAACGAATGGCCAAGTGACATTCCGCTTGGATATGGAGAAAAAGAAATTCATTCACTTTGCAAAAGGTTTAATTTGTCGTCTAAAAAATGTTATAGTGAATACAGAGATTATTTAGATGATGGAGGAAGAAATCCACCTGCAGACCACTTAAATCAGTTAATGTTGTATGGCAAACTAATACCTTGTGAAAGAGGTTTTAGTAATATGAACCTCATATTAAATGACAGGAGAAATCGCTTACTTATTGAAAATGTTTCAAATTTATTATTTATTAAAATGCACGGACCACCACTAAATATTTTTAATCCTGAAAATTACGTTATAACATGGCTTCGAACACACCGTTCTGCTGATGATAACCAGACAAGAAAATCTTCATCAGAAAACATTTCAATTAACTCTCTTTGGAAATTGTTGTAAAATTAAAATATATGAATTAAATAAAGATTAAAAATAGTATGTCGAAATAAAACCGTTTTTTTTATCTTTCTTTACTTCTTATATTTTATTATCTTTTAGCCGTTCCGATGCCGTTCCGGTACTTTTTTTTAGGACTACACCACTGCTCATAAACAAGATCCCGAATTAATTCAAAATAAAATAATGTATTAAAAACAAATGAATATGAACGTGTAACGCACGCGCCTTCGTTGAATCACTGCAGTAACTAAGCTTCAGCCCATTTTAAAACGCTAAAAAAAATTTCAACCATGTGTAAAATCTTGGTGGACGAGCCTTATACAAGAAGAGTACAATCATATATTCATCTTAAAATACAATAAATACAGATACAAAATTATTTTATCAGTATATTGAAGCAAGGTTGGAAGTTAATACGCCTTTTCAAATAATTTTATGGAATATTTTTAAATCAGACAGCAAATTTTGATACATAGTTGTTTGAGTAGATTTTTAAACACATAAAACTTGTTAATAAAGTTAAAATGCCACAGTTTTTCTACTGAAATTTATTCTGACAAAAATTGATGTGAGAAATTGTACAAAATATAGTCAACTTCATTAATTTCCAATCATTAGTCTCATGGTCATCATATGCACTCATAACAAATTTATGAATATTTCCTAATCTAGAATAACAATAATGGTGTGGCATAAAATAATACACAAACAGAAATGGCGTGAAATAAGATACAGACTTGGTGTGAAAAATGACGCAAGCAAAAATGGTTTACAATAAATGAGATTGCAAAATGAGATTGCTTAAAACAAACAGAGATGGCATTAAACAATACGCAAGCCTACCTCCTGGCCACCATGCTTCCTCTCATGGCCATGACGTTCCAGAGCTCTCTGCAGATGCCGACGTAAGCAAAGATCATGACTGAAAGTGGAATGATGAGAACAAGCACCAGCATCCAGATCTGAAAAACATACGCTGGAATCACCAAACATATGCAAACAAACCATAGTTCTAGATGAAGTCAAGAAATTTTTGGCTTAGATTTGAAAAAATCAAAAAGCGTCATGATTAATGATTTTTATAATGACAATAACAAAACTTATTGTTTCATATATTCCAAAACGCCGCAATATTGTAAAAAAAAATAATTAACTTAACATTTAATCACCATACAATTATTTTGACACAAACAAACTTCAAAGAAGCGTTCGACAGCTTTCGACGGCCACATCTTGACGCACCAGAACAGATCGCCATCCTCACCTACTGCCCTCAACGACTGCTTGCCAAAAATTGTTTTTTTATGCTCTGAAGCTTTGAATTTTTAGTAATATTGTTGAATTGAAGCGATTGTATGAACTGACTGACTATTCACCGAAACTGATCTTGTTGGTAAATTTTTTAAAAAGATTATAATCATTCATTAATTGTCTACAATAATAATAAATAAATATTGAATTAAAAAATGAATAAAATAGTTATCATATGTTTATCATAGGGTGCTCAAATTGTCACTCCATCTTATATTCACGACCCATCATTTCACGCACGCAGCCAACCGTATCTCGAGTAGCAAATCGACGAATAGTATATATGTAATACCAAACACATACCTCCAACTACGGCCATCGCAACATTTGAACCAGAGATTGAAAATCGTCTCGATGAAAAATTGTTGGATCGACATGAATCACTAACTGTATTTTTAATAGCTTCTTTTTCATTCTAAAATATGAATTTTTTTCAACAGTTTGGGTTTTATGGTATTTGGCCTCGGCTTTGGCCGACAAAGTGAATCGGCTATTCAGTCTCTTTGCAAATTCATTATTTGGTGTATCTTTATGATAAACAAGTTCAAAATAAAATCATTGGACGAAAACTTCAACCATGCCAGTTTGAGTCATGCTTGGACATGAAAACAGAAACAGGAAATAAAAAAAACTCATAAGTGGGGCTAAACCTCATAATAAGAATGTTTTTTTATGATTCTAGTCAGAAGATCAGTTGCAAACTAGCGGATAATAAAGTTTCAAGCAGTAAACAACAACAATGTGTTCAGTTCCTTATCATGCTTTGAAAAGAACTGCCAAGATGAAGAAGAGTGGCAGGATTGAACATTGATTGCATCAAGAAAAATTTGAAAGCTTGCTTCATTTCAATTTAATTTCAATTTTCGTCATGTTCATTTGAACCGCTTAGTGTACCTTCATATACGCCTATAAAAACTTTGTTAAATAAATGAAATTTACGAACTTTTTCAATATTTTCAGCTCAAATCAAGTATATCAGAAAAAAGTTAATAAAATTTTCTCAAACTTACAGTCTATGCCAAATAATCGATAGATCAGATTTTAAGACTTCGGAGAGCCATCAAATAAATAACTCTTGTTATCTTTTGATCCCCCAAAAATTGCAAAACTCTACCGTTACCAAAATTTTAAAATTTTATTAATGTACCCAGATGCCCACATTTTGCTTTCTAAGAATACGAGCAATGAAGTCAGAAGCAGCAAATTGAAAAAGAACTACCTGTCCATATAAAATGGGTGTGGCAAGAATAGTTGACAGTAGCCAAACGAAGCAGACCATCTTCTTCGCCCTGTGATGAGTGCAGTTGAATCTGGACTGCATAGGTCTGAGTATGGCATAGTACCTTAAGATTTTGAGGAAGTGCTAACAAATTAGGGTCTGTTATGTAACAATTTCAATTCATCTAATTTTATCATTCAATTATATTTCAATGGCAATAAAAATGTTTTAATTTAAACCAACATGAAAATAAATTTTTTCAACTTTTCTTCCGCACTCTCAAATAAATTTTGAAACTTTGAAAATTTCTTACTATATGGAATTTTTATTATTTCGTAGAACTGAATAAAACTAGGAACCATACACAGGAGTCTTTCCAATCATTTACAAGCCGCCCAGCGCCTTTCCGCTCTAATTATTTTTTATTTATACTTTTGTTTATGTTCATGATAATTTAACGAATTTGTTTACATTCCTTTGATGAAAAGATCCGTTAACGCCACAATTTATTGTCAACCTAGATGGCAGCTTTGGAAATAAGACGACCCATGAATTTCAAGTGCTTTTGTTTAAAGCAAAATAAATTTTCTCCCATGTAAACTTTATTAAAACACACTAAAGAAAGAATATGTGCAAGTTTTGAAAGAACAGAAACCCTAGAGGAATACAAATTGGATCACTGAGGAGATAGATTTTTTATTTGAAATAAGTTTAATCAAAAAGTGGAAATTCCAGAAGCCACATGGAAAATTATTTGTAGGAACAAATTTGAGCATTCAATTTTTTTGTTTTAGCAAAATTATTTTAAATTTCCACACAACTGTGATCAGATAATTATTTTATAAAATTATTTTTAAGTTTGTTACCTTTTAAAATTAAATAGTCAAAAAAATTATTTTTCTCGTTTGAACGTGTGCACTTGCAAAAGTTGTTTTAATTTTTGCATTTTTCCAGCTGATTAAAAAAACATGATTAGGTTTATTGAAGAACAACATGTCAGATATGTTGGAAACTTATTTGTGTACTTATAAAAATAATGCATATAATTGGGCATGCGATGGGACTGCAGAGTCATCAGGTATTCATTCTAATGTTCCTCCTCTAGAACTTTCCTGATACAATCAACTTTTTTTGCATTTTTTCTGGGAAAGTTTTATATTTTAACAAAAATTAAATTATAAATGAACTGTTTTAAAACGTGTTTTTCATAGTAATTTACCTTTTATAAAAAAATCAGCAGACATGCATCAACAAACAAACTTCAAACAAGCAAAAAACGCAAACAAAACCACGCTGATATAGAACAACTCAAACAAAACGATGCGAATATCAAAATTTACAAAAATGCCAACAAAAAAATTGCTAACAGAAAAACAAGCACACTGGCAAAAAGTTAAACAAACAACCGGGACAATACACAAATGATAATTCGACATTTGAACTAGAGACCGCCGACCATCTGGCAGTATTCAATCAGTTGTGAAGGTGCTAGTCATTTCGCCATTATCGTAATAGCTGCAACCAGTGCAACCGTATTAAGAAATGAGGCAGCATAAAAAATTAAAGAACAAATGACTGTCACGTTTTATTGATGCCGCTATTTATCGAACGCACAAGCACCACACTGACTAATGCACTCAAGTCGATCAATTCACGAAAAATACAGCAATTGTTCCCATAAAATAGCTTCGAAAAGTGAAAGTGAAAACGTGAAACACCTAGTTGTATAAAAAAAACACCAAAAACTCGATATAAATTTGATTTTATATTTCGACAAACTTTATTTTGGTATACTTAATAAGGGATTTTTATAAACGTGAGTTCAATTTCGGAGACACTTTTTAAAATCACGATTTGTAAGTTTGATTTATTTAGTTAATTTTTTTCTCAAAAAAGCAGGGTCCCGAGTTGATATTTCAAATTAAATAATACTTAATCTTTCAAAAACATTAAACCAGCGTTGAAAGGATAACAGTTTGAAGACCCAAGCAACAATAGTCCAACAACGTTCGAATACATATGTATATGAGATGCATGCAACAAATTATACCCACGCGGGATGTCGTTTATTAATGTGTGTGTTAATACATTCAGCTTGATTGCATTATTTTCCTTATTTTGTTTGTGAGTTGGTATGTTGTGTGGAAGTTTTATTTAGTTTGTAGGTTCATCAAATACATACTTGCTTGTTTGTTAGTTTGCTACGGTAAATCACGCAATATGTATCAAAGTTAGTGACTTGTTTGCAGATTGTCGGAGTCGGAGATTTCGGTTGAAGTTGGAGTCGAAGTTGGTCGGAGTCGGATATTTTGGCTTGAGTTAGAGTGATTTTACTAAGATAAACAATTACATTGACTGTGTCTTAGTGTTTTTAAAATACTTTTTTCAGTTGAAGAATTTTTTATTTCGTAATGATAAGGTGAAATTATCATGCAAAATTGGAATTTTTTTCAATACGTTTGGAAACATAAAAATAAAATAATCTTATTAGATAAGCAATTACATTTACCGTTTTTAGGGGTTTTTAAAGTATATTTTAGTAGTGATAATAAGATAAAATTATGATGAAAAGTTGAAAAATTATTCTGGAAATCGGAACCCGGAGTCAGAGTTGGAGTAAGACTTTTTGATGGGCCGAAGTCCTAGTCGTATATTTTTCATCCGACTCCTAAACACTGCTTGTTTGAAATCTCGTCTTCACACTACAATCACAGTGTAGGTACATTTTTCATTGAGGGCCAATCTGTTTTGAAGTGATAGGCGTCTGCGGTTTCTGAACATTCTTTGAATGAAATTGTTAAATGATATTCAACTGTATTTCGCTATAATTTTGTACATGTGAATTAATTTTAATAATAAAAAAAACACAATATACTCCTATAGAAAATATATAAAATAAAAAAAAATACAAATAATAGATAAAAGAAAACTACTTCAGGAACAAATAAAAGATGAAAATGAAAAACACGTCATAAATGGAATATTAATGAAGAGAGAAAAAGAGGGAGAGGAAGAGAGAGAAAGAGGAATAGAAAGAAAAAAATAGAAAAGAGAGAAAGAGAGAAAATGAAGCAGTGCTTATAAATTCTCTCCCCGTTGATATGTTTAATTTGTTTATACACCAGCGTTGCTTGTAACAGGACGTTACGTGGGAGCGATGCTTGATTGCACGTGGTTGCGTTTGTGGGCTTTAAAAAGTCTGCCAGCATGAGCTTGTTTATAAGCAGCTCGTATATAATACCTTTTCACCATATACTTGTGCAACATCAATAGTCATATCCAGCTATCAATACACACGCATTCACCCCTTACCTCCTCTGAATCAAACACTTTTTTGTAGTAACTTCTAAACAACAATGATAAAACTACAAATTTATTACTTTTAACAAAAAATAATGAATTTTTGTAACATTTTGTGCCAATAAACTAGAAGTGACTACGATATTTTTGATGTTTTTCATCACTCACGCTCTCCAATTAACAACAGCAACCACAACCTAAAACCATCAAACGTCTAATTCATTTCAGGTTAGAATCTCATGTTCTTCGAATGCTCAACCGCTGGGCAACTGCTGTCCTGCCACTTTCAATTCGAATTATTCATTAATCACTTATGATACACAACGTCGGTCATAATCACCAAACATTAATTTAACACAAGTAGAAAATTGTTGAGAGAAATTCTTAAACTCATTAGAAGTTACTTTTTACCTACATAAACACCGTTTCACGTGAAAAATGTCGAGAAATTTTGTGTGATGAGTAAAAAACAAAAGTCACCGGTCATCAGCATAATTTTGGTGACACTAGTTGAAATTTTGGTAGTTTTCAACCGCAGTTAAATTTCGGCATCCCCCGACAACGTTTTCTAGATCCATCCCTGATCGTCCAACAGTTTTTAAACATTAGTTTTTGAGCATTTTAAATTCGCAGTGGCAACATAAGTTGTAATATTTTTTGTTTCTTCTGCAATTTATTAAACACAACTGGCTTATTCCTTTTTTTGTTAATTCTGCATTTCATTTTATTTGAGACTTGCTTGTGTGCTTCACCTTCTGAACTATTTTTATAGTAACTTCTAGTATGGTAGGGTAGAGCTGGGTAACTTCAACTTCAGTTGAGGCAAAACTCCTACCCCTTTTAAAATAATATTGACATAATTTAGCGCTAGATTATTTTTTTCAGATTGATAGACAACATACCGAACTCTTAGTTTTGATATTTTATTGTTTTTGCAGAGTCGAGGTGACTTTTAATGTATTTTCTCGGTTTTTACTGTAAATTGACTATAAATATGGTAATAAATTATAGCGAATAATAAAAATTTTATTTTGTTTGATTGTATGAAATATAAATAGTAGGATCTTCATAATAAATTTAAATTAATTGAACGCAATATTAAATATCTTATATCACCCAAAAAATATTTTAGTGGATCAATGGAGGTAAAACGCCCATACTGTATGAGGCAAAATGCTTTTTAAATGAATTTATATAACTATAGAAAATTTATTATATAATGACGCCAGACTATAGTTGTTTTGTTTTCAATAAAAATATTTTTTATACAGTTAAACAGTTAAACTTTTAAGTGAATAATGTGCGTTACTTTTTGCCAATAAAACTTTAAAATATTCTTGAAATCATTTGGTATAGTTGTTTAACTTTTATTACATTATTAATTATTAAAGGCGTTTTTCTTCTGTACTTGGGCCTCTTACCTCACCTATGGGGTAAAAAGTCCATATTTGTTGGTTTATTGTATTTGTCACTGCAGCTCAGAAATAGATCCTAATAAGCCTCATACATTTTATTTTGATCACCGACTGATTAATTAAGTCGTAAAGCAAAAATATAAAAAATTGTAATGAATGTTTTTTATCTAGAGCCAACTTCTTAAAAACTGGAAGTGCTGCCCCACTCTTCTCTATAAAATTCTCTTTTATCTTTATCTCCGACGTGTTAAATTAGTATACACGTGTGCTTGAGTAATAAAATGTTTAAAAATTTGAATGCGTACGTGCGTGTATCTGTGTATATATGTGCAAGAGCTTTTAAATTTCCCCCGAATGCTTTTGAATTTGTTTTTTTTTTCCTAACAAAGTTTTTTTTTATCCAATTTCT